TTTTCAACGATAGAGTACCCACAATCCTATCAATTCTTGATTCGAAAAATTATGACAAGTGGTCCAAACAAATGGAAGCTCTGCTTGGGTATCAAGAAGTTCTTAAAGCGATCAACAATGGAGTTACACCACTTAGGGCAGAAGCTATAAGTGCTTAGAAGGATACATTCGAGAAAGAAAAGAAGAAGGATTACAAGACACTTTTCTTGATTCATTCTTGTGTCGATGGTAACAACTTTGAAAAAGTTAGCAATTGCGATTCGGCAAAGCAAGCTTGGGAGATCTTCGAAAAGACTTATGCAGGGGCTGACAAAGCCAAGGTGGTGAGGTTACAAATCCACAAACATCAATTCGAATTACTTCAAATGGAGGAGAAAGAGACGATAAGTGATTATGTTACAAGAGTTACTCGTTTGGTAAACCAAATTAATTCATGTGGAGAAACTACAATGCAACATAATGTTGTTTTAAAGATTTTGCGTTCGTTAACACCAAGATTCAACAGCATTGTAGTGGCAATTGAGGAATTAAAGAACCTTGCGACGATGAGCAAAGAGGAGCTGTAAGGCTCTCTCGAGGCTAATGAGCAACTGATGGATGAGAGGAATATCGACAAAGCAAAGGCGGGGATTTCTTTGTAAGCTCGGTTCATGAAGAAGAGTAAAAGATCAAAAGGAAAATGGGATTCGAGAGGGAAGTAAAATTTCCAGAATTTGGGTGGAAAAGATTCGCGAAATTCGAAGGTTTCGATGGGGGAAAATGGTGAGAGTAGATGCAATAGATATGATGATAAAAGCAACGGTAGAGGCGGAAAACCAAAGGTTGACAAGACTAAAATTCAGTGTTGGAACTGTCAAAAACTTGGACATTTTGCAAGGGAATCTAGTGCAAAACAAAAGGATTCCCAAAGAGATGAAGCTAAGGTTGCAAGAAAACACGTAGACAAGAAGAATATGCTCTTAGTGATGATCACGCAAGGAGATTGTAGCAGTGGCAGAGGTGCTGAAAATTATGCAGAAAAGTGCAACAGAGTTGCTGAAAATTCTGCAGAAAAGTGCGAAAACTGTAACGTTATGATTACGATGCGAGATGGAATTCAATAAAGAGAGGAGTGGTACTTGGATTCAGATTATTCAACGCATATGACGGATAGGAAGGATTGGTTTGTGCTAATCAATCAAACTGCAAAAAGTAGAGTAAAATTTGTGGATGATACCACTTTTACGGTCGAAGGCGTCTGTGATGTTTTGATCAGAAAGAAGAACAATGGACATTCTGTGATCAAAGATGTCTTATACATTTGGAAATTAAATTTAACCTCTTGAGTATTGGTCAACTGCTTGAGAGGGGTTACAAAATTTGCATGGAAGACAAGGTTTTGTGCGTTGTGGGTGCAAACAGTGTTTTGATCCTTAAGGATCCTATAACTGCCAATAGAACTTTCAAGGTGGAGCTAAAGGTTATGGAGTATAGGTGTTTAGCTACATCGGCAAGTAGAGAAGAGTGATTATGGCACTACTATCTTAAGCATCTCAATTTTTGAGATCTCAAAGCATTGCAATAAAACGGTATGGTTACCGACCTGCCACACATCAACATTCCAGCTGAGATGTGTGAAGAATGTGAGAAAGCGAAGCAACACAAGGCTAGTTTTAGCAAGTATGCGAGTCATAGGACCAAGACTCACCTTGAGATGATGTATTCTGATGTATGTGGGCCGATGCAAGTTGACACGTTGGGTGGCAATTGATACTTTGTCACTTTTATCGATGATTTTAGAAGAAAGCTATAGATGAAAGATGAGGTATTCCGATGTATGTGGGCCGATGCAAGAGGAAAGATGAGGTGCTTGATGTGTTCAAGAAGTTTAAGTCTATGGTGGAGCAGAAATGTGTTTGATAACTCAAAATGCTCGAAATGGACGGTGGATGTGAATATGTCTCGAGTGACTTTGGGAAGTTTTGTGACCAAGAGGGGATAGTGAATGAGGTGGTTCCACCCTATACACCACACAAAAAATAGTGATGCCGAGAGAAAGAATCAATCAATTATGGACATGGTTCGAAGCATGTTGAGTGGAAAGAAGTTGCCGAAGGAGCTATTGGGAGAAATTGTTTCTACATCCACTTATATGTTGAATAGATGCCCTACTAAGAAGCTTGAGAAGCTGACATCAAAAGAGGTATGGTCCGGAGTCAAACCGAATCTAATCCATTTGAGATTTTTTGGTTCGATGACATATCGACATATGTTGGGTCAACTGAGAAAGAAGTTAGACGACAAGGGCGAGGAGATGTTATTGGTTGGATATCACTTTACTGGTGGATATAAGATGTTTGATGCACAGAATCGGAAAATAGTGATCAGCTGCGATGTAATTTTTGACGAAATAAGGCGTGCAGGCCCCAGTGTAATCGGTTACACTCATCCGGTTCATCCTGGTGTAACCAATTACATGCAGGAAAAATAGCCTCTCAAGTTTGTTTTTTCTGATCTAGTCAGTTCTGGAACATCCGTGCACCCACCGATCAAGGATTGAAATGAAGAGAATGTTAGACGATCAACAAGGAAAAAAGTGTTACCTCATAGACTCCAAGAATGTGAGAGATTCTATGACAACGAAATCAATGATGATGGTGATTTCGTCCACTTTGCGCTTATGGTCGAATCTGAACTAGTGAACACGAAAGAGGCTCTAAGTGTTCCGAAGTGGATTTGTGCAATGAAGAAGGATCTTAATTTATTGAAAAAATGGTACTTGGGAGTTGGTTGATTTACCGCTTGGAAAGAAGCGAATTTGTGTTTGATGAGTCTATAAAGTGAAGGCAAATCCCAAAGGCAATGTGGTCAAGCATAAGGCTCAACTGGTAGCAAAGGAATTTTTGCAACGTGAAGGTATAACTTTGAGGAGGTGTTTGCACCTGTGGCTAGACTAGAAACTATCTGATTAGTTATTAGCATTGCAAATAACAACGATTTGGCGATATATCAAATGGACGTCAAATCTGCATTTTTGAACGATCCACTTGATGAGGAGGTTTAAGTTGAGAAGCCACCCGAATTTGTAGTGAAGAATCAAGAATTGAAGTTCTACAAATTGCATAAAGCATTATATGGTTTGAAACAACCTCCAAGAGCTTGGAACAAACACATTAATGGCTTTCTAATTGATATTGGTTTCAAGCAGTGTGTTCGAACATGGAGTGTATGTGAAGATGGATGTGAATGATGGCATGGTTATTATTTGCTTGTATATTGATGATCTATTGATTATTGACAACTGTGAGAAGAGTATTTCCAAGTTCAATAGTGAACTTATGGATGAATTTGAGATGATAGACCTTGGTATCAGGACATATTTCCTTGACATAAAGTTCTACAAGTCAAAAACGGGACTGCTCATGCACCAAAGGAGACATGTTCTTCAGATTTTGAAGAGATGTGAAATGGAGCATTGTAATGCGGTCATTACACCATATGAAGCAATGTTGCAGCTGTCCAAGAGTGAGGATGAGCAAAATGTGGATCTAACTGAATATAGGAGATTGATTGGATCTTTGCGCTATTTGTACAATACGCGACCAGACTTGGAATTTAGTGTCGGTATTGCTAGTAGATTGATGGAGAGATCGAAGGTGTCTCACTTAATAGTGGTCACGGGGATCCTTAGATACATTAAAGGAACTCTTGGCTGCACAATTCTTTTTCTCACAACGGATACGAGCCAAAAATGCGGTTTACTTGGTTTCACCGATTCCAATTGGTGTGGAGATAAGGATGATAGAATGTCGATGGCTGAATACATTTTATGTTTGGTAGGACACCAATCTCTTGGTGTTCGGAGAAGGAACCAGTGGTAGCACTCTCGTCTTGTGAGGCAGAGTATATTGCGACATCGTTATGTGCGTGTCAAGCTATGTGGCTCATGAATCTATTGAAGGAGTTGGATAGCAATGAGGGTGAAGCTACCACACTTCTTGTTGATAATGTTTATGCGATAAACCTTGCGAAGAATCTGATTGCACACGGAAAAGGCAAGCATATATAGATGCAGTTTCATTATTTGAGGGAGTCAGTGAGTGAAGGCAAACTAAGATTAGGATATTGTCGAAGTGAAGACCAAGTGGCAGATTTGTTGACTAAGGAAGTAACAAATGAAATGTTCAAGAGGTTGAAGATGAGCTTGAGTATGGTAGACTTGGACCAACTGAAATGAGGTGGTGTGTTAGAAAATATTTTTTCTGTCATTTCAGTTGGTGTAACCGGTTATCGGATATGTGGTAACCAATTACTCCATGTTCACGTAGAGTCAGTGGCTTCGAAGTTTTGTCGTAACTGGTTACCCCAAATATGGTAACCGGTTACACTGGGCGTTTTTTGTGTTTTTAGCTTATTTTTTTGTTTTATATTTTCCCAATTATTTTTGTACATGTTATATAAATAACCTTTAGTGCTCTCATTTGTGATTAATTCCAATTTTAATTCTCACCTTCAATATCTCTCTTTATTATTTTTTTTCTCAATTATAAACTTCTAAATTCTAATTTTCACTGATATTAACCCAATCAAATTATTCTTTATTCCAACATCTATAAAAATTGATAGCTAAATTTTGGTACATACCTTTAATGTACTATTTTGGAAAAATATATAATAATATATTTTCCTCAACATAATATTAAAATAAATAAATTAACAATAATAAAAAAGATTTAAAAAAAAAAGTAACAAATAATAAAATACAACGAAAATTCTTTTGGCCAATTGAGTACTATTCGACCGACTCTACGTAGTGATAAGTATTATTTGGACATAATTTAATTACGAAAAGATATATAACAAACTGTTGATTCAACTAACTATGTACTAGTAAGTCAGCATTCCTTTAAGAAACCTAAATAGTTTATTTTTCACAACACAACATTAAAATAAATAAAGTGACAATAATAAAAGACAATGAAAATTCTTTTACTATTGCACCGACTATACGTAGTGAAGGATCAACGCATCCACGGAATCTGAAACTCATCATCATAGAACAACTCATCATCATCCTCTTCCATTATTGAACCTACTGAAACTCTACAGATAGGACACGTTGTGTTATTGTATTTCAAGCTAATCCAAGTATCTAAACAACTTTTGTGAAACACATGTTTACACTGTAACTTTCTAATCTCTTCCTTTTCTTTCACTTTGCCGAGACACACAGCACAATCTACATCATCGTGATTTTCATACACGTGTTTGAATACACCATGAGAATCCTGGAATTTGCTTAAGGGATAGCACAGGTAGTTCAGGAAGATGTTGAATATCCACTTGAGAAGAACATGAAGGTGAGTTGAGTATTTCCTCAAGATTTTAAAGGTGTGGGAGCTAGAGATTAAGTTTATTGCTAACGCGATTCTTATCAGAGGGCTCATCGTATATTGCTTGGGTTGAGTTTGTGGAAATATCGAATAGTTATATTTAAACTAAAAATCATCACTAAGAAATATTCAAAATTATATAAAGCCAAAGTTTGTTACCCCTCAATGTATGAATGCATTAATTAGTGAAAACAAGTTTCAGTTGCGGGTCAAGTGTCTTAATTATTAATTAAAGTATAAATGTAAAGCAGAGATTGAATAGCTTGTCAAATACATATACTTATTGATTAAAATTAGGTGAATTATTTAACACTCTCTCATATATATATATATATATATATATATATATATATATATATATATATATATATATATATATATATATATATATATATATATATATATATATATATATATATATATATATATATATATATATATATATATATATATATATATATATATATATATATATATATATATATATATATATATATATATATATATATATATATATATATATATATATATATATATATATATATATATATATATATATATATATATATATATATATATATATATATATATATATATATATATATATATATATAATTAGAGTTTTTGAAAAGAATAAGAGAGAAAATTTACATTGTGAAAAAAGAATTTATTGGAAAAAAATTGTTATATATTGATTTAGAACGTCTTCTGTCATCTGTATATATGGGCAACAAAACATATAATTTACAACTTGCAGTATTCGACTCTGTCGAATACATGTTTATACACTTCAACAAAAACATGCAATATTCGACTAACACAACTCTGTTGAATATAACTTTCATAAAACATTAGATTATATCTTCTAACACACCTTCTAATTCATGTTTTCAAGACTTCTTATCCCAATACTGATGGGGTTTGGTGAATATATCAGCTAGTTGTCATTTCTGACTTACAATGCGAAAGTTCAAGTTTTCCTTTGCTTACTTAATCCCTAAGGAAATGATTCCTCCTTTCTGTGTGCTTACTTCGACCATGATACACATGATGATTTGTTAGGTCGATAGCTGACTTGCTGTCGATAAACTACTTCATTTTCTTAGGTTCCATGATCTTGAGCTCCTCGAGCAGCATCTTTATGCATCTTGTTTGACATGTTGCATACGATGCAACCACATATTCAAATTCATAAGATGACAAACCACAATTCTTTGTTTTCATGAGCTCCAAAAGATTGGAGCACCTCGAATCATGAATATTTGACCTACAATACTCTTCTTCTCGTCTTGATCTTTACTAAAATCTAAACCAATGTAGCTATTTACCCCTACATATGTGTTGGTATTATTTCTCCTTGGCATCAACACGCCATGATCAATTGTACCTTTTATGTATTTCAACACTCTCTTGACTGCACTGAGATGATATTCCATGTGCCTTCTCCATGAATCTGCTTAACAATCTAACATTTTGACAAATATTTGGCCTGGTGTTGCATAGATACCTTAAGGATCCAATAATTTGCTCGTATAACATTACACTTTCAAACGCATCATCTGTATCCTTTCTCAATTTTTCTTCAGTCTCCAATGGCGTGACAGATGCATTAGAGTTACTAATCTTGAACCTTTTCAAGATATCCTAGGTATAGTTCGTCTGGTGCAAAAACACTCCTTACTTGCGTCTTTAAACTTCATTCCTGAGAAATATGACATGTTCCCTAAATCATACATTTCAAATTCATGCATCAGTTTCGACTTCACCATTTTTATTTCTGCTTCATCTGCACCTATTATCAACAAGTCATCCACATACAAGCATATAATGACTCGACTGACCCTAATTGCATTGTTGACATACACTCCATATTTTGAGACACATTTTGAGAAACCTGCCTCAATCAGAAAGTTATTTATTCTCTTGTTCCAAGCACTTGGAGCTTGCTTCAAATCATATAGAGTCTTCCTCAATATATACACCTTATATTCCTGCCCTTTCATTTTGAATCCTGGTGGTTGACTAACATAGACCACCTCTTCCAATGGTCCATTTGGAAATGCTGACTTTACATTTGGTTTATGTATCTTTCATCCTTTGTATGTTGCGGTCGACACAATAATTCTTATGGTTTCCATCCTTGCAACAAGTTCATAGACTTTTTTCGAAGTTGATACCAAGTTTTCGCAGGAAACCTCTTGCCAATAGTCTTGTCTTATGCTTGACAATTTCACCATTTGGCCTTAGCTTTAACTTGGAAACCCATTTAACATCAATTGACTTCTTGATTGAATTTTCTACAAGCTCCTAGGTCTTGTTCTTCTCGATTGATCTAGGTTCTTCTTGCATGGTTTCCAAGTAAATTGGTTGTGATTCAGCCAGCATCAACACTTCTTGTATGAAGTCATCATTTGCATCGATTTCTTGATCTAGAAATCTCGCATATACAGCTAGCCTTATCGAAATAGTTCTCATTCTAGTCGATCTTCTAACATTCTACTAATACGGTTCTTCATTTTGATTGGTTGTGACTTGAGTTTGTTGGTTTCTTCAAACACACTTTCGATTGTATCTTGCTCATGTCGAACTAACCCATGAGTCAAATTCTACCTTTTGCTTTCGTCCACTAGAACATCACTAATGATCATTAGTTTATCATCATTTGGTGAACGAAACTTGTATGCATCAATCGAATGATAAGCTACTAGTGCCATGGTCTAACTTTGATCATCTAGCTTCTTCCTCAATTCTCAAGTACATGCTTGAAATACATTGATCCAAATACTCTAGGATGACTGTTGCGGTGAGAATAGGATATCAAATTATTGATTAATTTGAATCACAAATCTTGAATTCACAACCGGTCTTTGATTTATCCGAAGGAAAGGTTAAAGAAAGAAAAACCTAATTGCATCGTAAACACAATGCGGGGAGATCTAGGGTTCGGGGGTTGGTTATACCTAGGGAAGGTGTTAACATCCTAAGCATCTGTAGTACCCTACAGGAACCTCTTGTTTTATTATGTGTTATTTGTTGTCTATCTGTTAAAGGTATGCTAAAGGGTTGAAGGGAGATCTAAGGGATTAGTCCTAAGTATACTCGCCAAGAAATTGCATCTTGTGCCTATGTATCCTGGCGGGAATGGAATCAGAGTATTCATAGTTCCCCTCAAAGAGGGTAAGGAACTTCTTGATTGTGGTCAAGGTTCTAGGGTGAGGTAAGTGTTCATAGCGAGACACTTACGTGGAGTGCGGAGACTCTAAATCTACCTTAATGTTGAAAGATAGATAAGGTGAGTAAGTATGTAGGTATCCACAGTGGAAACTTAATATTGAGTACGACGACTCCTATCCTAAGGCTAGGATGAAGGTGTAGAAGAGAATGTCCACGGCGGGATGCTACCTAGAGTACGACGACTCCAACCCTACGTTGCAAACGTTAACAAGAAGTTAATTGTTAGTGAGCTTGCCAAGATATCGCATCTTGTGCCTACGTATTCTCATCGAGAAATCAAAGTGTTCATAGTTCCCCTTAAAGAAGGTGAGGAACTTCTTGACTGTGGTTAAGGTTCCAGGGGGATGTAAGTGTTCATAGCGAGACACTTACGTGGAGTACGGCGACTCCAAAGCTACGTTGGAATAAGTTGAAAAAATGGTAAGTAAGTATCCGCGGAGGGAACTAACGTGGAGTACGGCGAATTTGATCCTAAGGCTAGGAATAGGGTTAAGATGGGAATTTCTACGGCGGGACGCTAAGTGGAGTGCGGCAACTCCTATCCTAAGGCTGGGATGAAAGTGTAAAAGAGAATGTCCACGGCGGGACGCTACTTGGAGCACGGCGACTCCAATCCTACGTTGCAAAAGTTAACCAGAAGTTAGTTGTTAGTGGGCTCGCCAAGACATTGCATCTTGTGCCTACGTATTCTCATCGAGAAATCAGAGCGTTCGTAGTTCCCCCCAACGAGGGTGAGGAACTTCTTGACTGTGGTCAAGGTTCCAGGGAGAGGTAAGTATTCATAGCGAAATACTTACGTGGAGTGTTGCGACTCCAAATCTACGTTGATGATTAAGTTGCAAAAGATAAGGTAAGTATCCACGACGGGAACTTACGTGGAGTACGACGAATCTTGATCCTAAGGCTAGGATTAAGGGTAAAAAGGGCTTAAAGTTAAGGGATTGACATGGCAGTCAACAAGGGGAAATTGTTCTTGGGAACGTATATAGGTAGTCAGATTAAAGAGAGAAACCTCAATTACTAAAGGGTGGGTAACAACATATACAGCCAATACACAGACTAAGAGCTCAAAGAAAGAATGGTGCATCAAAATTAGGACTTAATCGCAATCAGACGCAACAATAGTTATTTTCAAAAATAAAAATTAAATAGGATATATGAATTCAAGATTAAATCAGGAGTTAAAATAAATAGCACATAATTACCACATCTTGAGTAAACCAAAATCTAATTAAAACTGAATAATTAGTTAGATTTAAATCAAAGCTAAAGAATTAAGGCTTGATTAAAAAAACTAATTATTTTAAAAAAATTACATAGTTAAGCTCTAATTAATTAAGAAACTAGTTAGTTAAACCTAAATATAAATATAATCTTAACAAAATAAGGAACTAAAAATAGAAACTGTGGGCAAAGGGCTAAAAAAGAAGATAGGCTTAAGAACAAAAGCCTAAACGCCCAGCCCGGGACCAAATAGCAATGATCGATCCAGTGGACGTAACCTGGAGTGGGTCTACCGTGCGCCTTACTAGCATGACCGTTAGATCGTGTGATCTGACCTGGTCAAACGAACGCGTCAATCTGGACGGAAGGATTACCATGGATTAAAAAGAAACAATCACACACGATTATTAAACTAACTTGCACTCGTGGCCACGTGTCACCAGCGGGAGTCCCCCCATACACCACGTAATCTGAGTGTTAAGACAAAGGGAATCGGACCAACAACTCATTTCGCATCCACTCCTTCTCTCTATCTCATTCATCTCTATATTTCATGCGACCGGAGGCATAAAGGGGGCACCGGAGAAGATGGAGTA